AGAAGAGGCAAGAAATACATAGGGATTCTACTGAGATTTCAAAGGCATAAAAACACCAGTGAAAACGTAACCATGTATCTCAGAGAAAGGGCTCCCAGTTCCCTCTCGTTTTAGGTTCTTAACACTTTGCCTTATAAAGAATTCTTGTGATGTTTTTAAGACAGTAGTGTGCAGCAAGCCTTTGAAATTTGGCAGAAAGGGCCTTTTCTTTGATGAAATTCTCTTCAGGTTTGACTGAGAGAAAGAACTTTGGAAAATCGTCATTTCCCTTCCGTAGGTGGTGTTCCTGGGGAACATATTGACAACATGCCAAATTGAAGGTGCACATTAGGGGTATAAGTGAGTTGAGTACTCGACTGTCACTTCCCCTCCCCTGTCTGCCTCTCCTTAAAAGCCGGTTTCCCCCAAGTACTGTCTGCTCTGTGCCGCCTCCCCTCGCTACTGTCTCTAATAGAGACAGCAACGGGGGGATGGAGGGGTAGGGAAGGCAGCTTCGTCTCTGCAGAGCCATAGCAGGGGTAGCTCCTGGACTGGTGCGAGCTGGAACTTTAAGCGCCTTCCCTCGTTGACTAATTGTGTAGTCAATACAAATTGTACTGACTACACGATTAATCATTTACCTGCCTCTTAACACCCTTGGGGTATGTCTACACTAGCTCGTTAATTCGAGCTAGGTAGGCAAATGGGGTGACCGGAGTTGCAAATGAAGCCCGGGATTTAAATATCCCGGGCTTTATTTGCATGTTCCCGTCTGGTCACCATTTTGAAATTTCACTAGCCCGAACTCACTGCTGGGCTCTCTCTCAACCAAGTGATCTTGCTGGGTTCAGCACATGGTCCCAGTGGCCCACCTGGAAACTCATCCGTTTGTGGTGCCATCAGAGGGGTGTAAAGGCTCCCTAGCTATTCAGGGGAGGAGTGGGGAGAAACTGGGATGGATTCCCTTAGTCCTGTAGCTCAAGGTGTAATATGGTGCTGAATAGCCAGGGTTCAAACCTTGCTCCTGATATAAGCTAAGGGTGGTGTTACAGCTGCACAAAATATTTTCCCCTTCTCTAAAAGATCTTAATTTACATACAGAAATCATAAACATTAATTAAGTTGCAAAATAACGTGCTCACATGCCAGGAAATTGCAGAGCTTAGCAGATGCTAAGTCATTAAACAAAGTTTGGCTTGTAGCCATGTGTTCATTTTCTGGGTACCCATCTTGAGACACCCAGTTCCTGCTTGGCAGAGGTTTGGGAAACTCAACTGCCATTAAAGTCAGTGGGAGCTGTGGATGCTCAACCTCTGTGGCCTTAAGGCTGTGTGGGCTGGGGGTATAAAATGGAGAGGGCAATATTCTTTCTTCAGTGGAGATGAATTATTAATATTTGTGAAGCACTCCGATCCCCTGGCAATAAGTGCCCTAGAAAAGTCAATGAGGAAATGACTAATTCTGCGATCATTGCATTATATGCAGAAAACAAGGCAGGGATCACTAAGTGATGAAAATGGCAATATTCAGCTGCTTCATTCCGTGAGCATCGCCCATCCTGTGTACTGAATGAGGCAAGGGATTTGTGGAGGGAAAACAGTATGTGACCATGTAATTCAAGACTGTTCATTCTGATTCATACACACAAGGAGGCTGAATTAAGGTTGCCTGGGTAACCTAAATTTTGGTATTTCTGAGCTTTCAAGTGCTTGACTGTAACCTAACATTTTTTAAGTCAAGCTTTTTGTATATAATGTATATGGCCCTTTACAATAGAGTGCACACCACACAAAGAAAGAAATACAACCCTGCTCACTAAGGCTCCTGATTTAAAAGGCACGTGTGGATACAATGCAAGAAATGGAGATTAGAAGGAAAAACTCTTAGGTGCTTGTGTCGCCAGAGTACCTGTGTATTGGAATAAAAGACCTCTGGAACATCTGGCCTGGCCTGGGTCAATTGACTTGAGTTCAAATAGACTCTGAAGCTAAAAATTGCAATGTAGATATTCGAGCTTGGATTCTGGTCTCTGGGACTCTCCACCATCATGGTGTCCCAGAGCTCACGTTTCAGCCTGAACCCAAATATGTACACAGCAATTTTTCAGCCCGGCTGGCCAAGGGTATTTAGTCCCCATGTAGATGTACCCTTCTTGGCAAGGGATGCAAATGACTAGTCAACTATCCGATAAGCATAAGCTTATCAGATAGTCAAATAGTCACATGACTAATCACTCTCTTCTCTCCTCTCCTCCCCTCTCTCCCCCAGCTGCCTCTATCAGAGAGAGGCAGTAAAGGGGGGAAAGCAGGAGCCGGTTCTGGGGGAAGCTAGCTCAAAAGCTGGTTTCCCCCCAGCGCTGTCTCCAGAGGGCAGGGGAGGCCATTTCTGCTGCTTGTGCCCCTCTTTGAAATGTACAAGAGCCTCCCATGAAGAGGTGGGTGGGATAGCTGTGTGCCTCCCTTATCAACTAATTGAGTAGTCGAAATTCCATCGACTAGTTGATTCATTGAAATTTAACATCCCTATTTGTGGCTAGAATCCATATGAAAACTGCTTAAAGATACCTTACCTCTGTCACCAGAGAGCATATTGAGCTGATTGCTTCTCAACAATATGTTCCAATAGCAGGTTTCTGGACCCATCATTTAAACACTTTCATTATACTGACAGGCATGGCTTTTAACAGAAGTGTCTTCAGTTTTCCATGAGGCCTTAATGTGCATTTGCCCCTTAAATAGCAATATTACCATGCTGATAGTTTGCTGCCCATTGTGCACCTTCTTGTGGTGAGGCACAGTCCTCCAACTGCTTGTCCCCAGTTTTCCCCAATAAGGTTTTCAGGCAGCTTCCAACATAGCCCCCTCATCTGGGTGAGCAGGGTCCAAAGTCAGCACCAAAGCAAACACAAAATAAGTGTTTCTGCTAGTTGGGCTTAGCTGAGCCCCTGTGAAGCTATTTTACCTGTATGACACCCCCCTCCTCCGCCCCCCTTTCTCCAAGCTCTGCTCTCAGACCCTACCTTTCCCTCAAATGGAGCAGCTGGTCTGTCTGAGACATAGGTCCTGAACTGTGACATTACTCAGGCCAAGTTAGAGGTCTTCAAATTACCAGGGTCTCGTGAAATGCCTCCTAGAATGCTCAAGAAGCTGACTGAAGAGGTATGAGCCATTAGCAACTCTCTTTTGAAAGTCTTGGACGATGGGAGCGATTCCAGAGGACTAAAAAAAGTTTTGGGTTCGGTTCTGTCTGGTATCTTCATGAGTGAGTTAGAATGATGATTGCATACAGAGTACACTTACGAAGTTTGCCTACTGTACCAAACTGGGAACGGGTGGCAAGTGATCTGGAGGTTGACTAAAATTCAACATGATCAGGAGAAATGGTCAGAATAAATAGTATGAAATTCAAGAAGGACAAATGCAAAGTACATCACTTAAGAAGGAACAAATCAGTTGCACACCCATAGAATGGGAAATGACTGCCTAAGGAGTACTGTGGAAAGGGATCTTGGGGTCATAGTGGATGACAAGTTAAATGAGTCAATAATGTAACATACTCTCACAAAAAGCAAACATCATTGTGGGCTGCATTAATAAAAACATTGAGCAGAGTAATTCTGCTCTGCTCTGATAAGGCCTCAACTGGAATATTGTGTCCAGTTCAGGAAGAATGTGGACAAACTGGAAAAAGTCCAGAAAAGTGCAACAAAAAAGATTGGTCTAGAAAACATGATCTGTGAGGGAAAATTAATTAAAAGAATTGGGTTTATTTAAACTGGAGAAGAAACAGCTGAAGAGGACATAACGACTGATTACACCTGCCTAAACCAGCCCTCTCTGGTCTGGCAACATCTGTGGTCTGGCAGGACCATGGATGTTCCCAGGCCAGAGAGCTCCGGAGGTTGGGAGCTGGGCAGCAGATGGGCCGGTAGCCAGCCTAGTAGGGGAGCCGGAGTTTTCGGCAGGGGGTGGGGGCCATGGGAGCCCCACAGCCCAGCAGGGAAGCCAGGACTGAGGCAGCGGCATCCCAGCTGGGGACCTTGGGCCATGGCAACTAGCCAAGCCTGGGCCAGTGGCAGGGGGGCGAGCCTGGCTGGGGCTGGAAAATGAGCTAGCAGCAGGCTGGGGAGCCAGTTGCAGGGGACCTCCTCTGGCCTGGCAAATACCCTCGTGTGGGGCCCGTCAGGTCCTGAGGATGCTGGATCAGGGAAGAAAAGCCAGTTGCCCCGGCACTGTCTCGGCGGGGGCAGGGGAAGCAGAGGCACTACATCCCTAGTTCTCTCTCCATATCAAGTTGTTCAGGCTGACTAAGCAGTCTGGACCTTAGAGAGAAGACACCCAATTAACAGTGTGACCACATGGCGAGACACAGAACTGTGGACTTCCTGGGACAGTCTGGAGAGGAGTCCACTCTTGAAGTCATTTGCAAGTGGCATGGCTATGGATGTCTCTTATGAAAGGATAGGATATGTCTGTGCTGTGCTGTAGAGACAGGGAAAAAAAACAACCCTGTGACAGTCTTGAACCCAAGTTGTTGTGTAGATATTTCCTCTTGGACTGGAGCTCAGGCTGTGAAACTCAGTAAGGAGGGTGTGGGTCTGAGACCAGGATTCAGCCTGAATGGGAAAATATATACTGTTTTTAGCCCTGTAACACGAGTCCTGAGATCCTAAGTCATTTGGCCACTAGGTTTGGGGTGGCAGGGTTTGTCTATATAGATATGCTCTACTTACCTTGGGTTTAAGTATATTTCTTTGACCCTTCCTCTGCTTGGGAACTAGCTTAGAGTATTGGAAGAGAACCTAGCGTTCAGCCACTGCACCAGATTCGATGGGGGCGAAACCCAGGTAGTGGATCTTCATTATTGTATTATGCTGTTTCTTCCCATTTCTAGTAAGCCTGCAGGAGGAACTATGAGCATGTGCCACATTTTCAGTTACGGTAACTGTTGCTGTACTTGCACAATTTGAGTCTTCCCTATGCAACATCTTCATGATGGCTTTTCTCCTTCTCTTCCTCCAGTTTGCCCCCGTCCACCGGAGCCTGAGAATGGAGGCTACAAATGCCATCCAACGCCTTGCAGTGACCCTCTGACATCCGACAGCGTCATAGAGTATGTGTGTGATGAAGGCTACATGCTAAAGGGAGATTACAAATACTTGACATGCAAGAATGGAGAATGGAATCCAGCCATGGAAATTAGCTGTAGGCTAAGCCAAGGTAAGTAATGCATTACAGCAAGTAGGGAGGGTAAGACAGTATTGGCTTCCATTTTAGACTGTCTTCTTTATAATGTGTATTTTCAGTATTTGATATCTATATTGCAGTAGTTCCCAAAGAACACACTAAGGTTGGGCCCATTGTGCTAGGTGCTGTAGAAACAATCAATGGCAATCTCAGCTCACAGTGTAAAAGACACAACTCCCCTTCCTCTCCTAATTCCTATTTGTCAAAGTCCAGCCCATGTTCCTCAGCACAGCAACATGGCCTATAAAGATCAGGGATGTGAAAGGTTAACCAGTTAACTGGTAAGCATCACCCTTAACGGGTGAGGCTTACTGGTTCCAGTTAAATGGTGGGAGCTGGGACGGCTCCCCACCCACCATGGGGCCCTCTGCCTGCCCCCTCTCTCAATTGGTTAACCAGTTAAACATGATTGTACAGCCTTGTCCTGGATGCAGTTCTTCATCAAGGTTTGAGTGGAGGTTCCCATGTTAGCCTGCTGAGACGATAAATTCCATCTTGCCTCATTAAAGGTAAAGGGGCAGTAAGCAGCTGTATCGTGTACGCTTCCAATGCTGCCCCTCTGTCCCCTGGCAAGTTGACAAGACATCACCCTCTTTCTCTCTCTAATATCTTGGAAACGGACTGGGCTACAGGAACACTGAATACAGTACCTTCCTCATCTGAGCAAACTGTGTTCCTCATCTCCGTGTGTGTTTTCCTTCACCAGTGCTTTCTACACCCCTTTGGTCGAAGAGCTGATTTATTTGTTTTTGAACACTGCAGCCTGCAGCAGTGCAGAGCTCCATGGTGCTGTTCATCTTTGGCTTGGCCTGATGGATGGTGCTGATAGATTGTAGATGTTTTCTTTTTTTCCAAATGGAAACTAACAGCTTTTGTTATGTGCGGCTTTCCCAAGCTGGACAGGAAAGTAAAGCAGTCTGAAGAAAAATGTTATACAGCTGTGATTTAATTGTCCATGGGATTTCTAGTTTTAAAACACATATATACCCAGTAAAAGCTGGTGGGGGTGGAGCCCTTGTGAGCACATATACTGGTGGAATGACTCAGCAACAACAGATCAGATTCAAATCTTTTCCGCAGGGATTAGTGTTTATAAACCAGAAAGCAAAATGTTAATTTAATCAGAAAGCAAACAGAAAACACTTGAAGTTCACCTGAGCTCTGTGGCCTTTAGAACCTCCTATATTATTCCCAAAGATGTCCTTTTCCCTTCTGGCCACTCTTATAGCTCTTAACTCTGAGCAACAGTGCAAGGAGAGGGAACCAGAACCTGAAAATGTTCTTTCAATTCAGTGTGTAGAATTCAGTGTAAGAATTTCTCTCCCTCCCTCAGTCCCAGACCATGCAAGAAAACCCTTCACCGTGGTAACTAGCCATGCTTGGACAGCATCCTTCCATTCCAGGACTGGTAATAACAGTGCCTGTTTCTCTAGTGTCACTGAGGATGGGTTAATTCATGACCTTAGTTGATGAACAATGTAGGGCCTCAAAACATTAGTGGAAGGGTAGTAAAAAAACCTATGAGAAATGAGGAGACTTCAGATCATGGGCTTCAACGCACAGTCACATCTCAATCCACCTCTGATTGTCACACTACGAGAAATGAGGAAACTTCAGATCATGGGCTACAATGCACACAGTCAGTCACATCTCAATCCACCTCTGATTGTCACACTACTTCACACCTGCCAGACCATATCACAGAAAATGCAGCCATACAGGAACATGGCGTGAAAACCTTGTCTACACAAAATGCCTGTTGCTCACAAGAGGTGCAGCAGAGCTGCTGCTGAACACAGTCTCTCCTTGGCTGTGCTTGCATTCAGGTATGCTCCACGCTAATGTGCCACACCTGCTGCTGACACTCATCTGTGAGCTTTTTTGGAATGCACGTGAGGCTTACTTGGCCAGTTACTTCTCTAGAGATAAAGGAGCAGAAAAGCAGTAGTTCAACACTTACCTTGTTAATGTGGCAAAAACTTCCTCCCACCCAAAACAAATCAAAGGAAAGAGCTGGCAGATGTCATTGGGGAGGGGAACTATTCTGTACTGCTCTGCCTCCAGCCCATTTGGCTGTCCCACATTCATGCAGACCTTCCATGCTTTCTTATAGACCTATGTAAAATCTCATTTAATTAGCTCGCAGTTGGCAGGAAGCTGCTGCAGCCTCCACCAGTTCAGGGTAACCTGTGAGCCTCATCCATTAAGGGGGAGGCTTACTGGTTAACCATTCACATCCCTATTCTCATTCCAGCCAGGAGAGGAGTTCCAGTCTCTGGAAACTGCACATGCTGGCATGCCAAAACACCCAGAACGACGGGCTCTTTTGCAGTATTGCGTATCGACGCAGAGAAATTAATGCTATCGTATGTCCATTCTCGAGAGCAGGGACAGGCAAGATCTAGCAGGGATGGGCTGCACTGCCAGACCCCTCAGGCACAGAGCAGCCAGCCGCTTGAGAGCAGCAGTGTTGGGGGAAGGCGGAGGCTAATAGGAGCAGAGAATTTTGCTGTGGGTGGGGGCAGTGTCTGAAGCCTCTCACACCACTCTCACCCCCCTGGGCCAAGCAGAGCCACAGGGAGCAGCCAGACATTTTGAGCAGCCTGGGAGGGTCCTGTAGGACTGCTGGCAGGGAGCTGCCTATAGAAGTGTTTCCTGACCAGAGCCTGTCTTTGGTACCCCACCCCCTCCTGCACCCCAACTTCCTGCTCCAGGTCACAACACCCTCCTTCACTCAAACATCCTCTTAGATCCCACACGCTCTCCTGCATCCCATTACCCTGAACTCCCTTTTGCACTCAGCCCTCGCCCCAGACTCCACACCCTCTCTGTAGAAAAGTTTGGCCCTTGATTACTCTTGGAATGGCGCCTCATCAAAAATTATTGCCCGCCCTTGCACAAGAGTCAGTCGTCTAAACCACCCCAAACATCTCTAGAACTTGAATGCTAGAGGAGTTTATTTGCACATATGGCTGTGTAGAATATAGTACAACCTGAAGGTTATCTGAGGTTTCTGCCTATATCTGAAATATTTTAGCTTAATGACATGTCTAATGAAGACAAAGACAGTCCCCACGTGGTGAAGAGAATACTAGGTGGATGATTTTCTGACTAGGTAGCTAGTCTGGGAGATTCTGACTAGTCTGGGAGAGTCCTGGATATGACCCTAGAGCCGTGGTCCCCAACACGGTGCCCGCGGGCGCCATGGCGCCCGTGGGGGCATTTGCATGCGCCCGCCAGGTGCTCAGGGCTGGCCTGGCCCCGGGCACATGGCGCGGCACTTGCGGGGAGCGTCGGCCCCGGGTGCGC